GTCTTCTACTGTTATAGCATCACAAGCTCTAGTGTTGGAAGGGATTCTGGACGTAACGTCTTTATCATCGTCATCGTCATCCACGAACTTGAAGTAATTGCAATGGGGAGTGGGAGTGTTACTCTACAATGCATGACAATCAGTTAGTTGAATACGACAAATATTAATGTGACAACTAAAGGATTAAAATTTGTAATACATACTTACATATTTTGATGGGCAAACAAAGAACAAACGCCCTTCATTTCCATTTTCATTGGTTCTTACAATACGTATGGCAGCGGTTCTTCCACAATTGCACAACCTCGTTTGTAATCTTATGTTGCTAATGTTAGAAGAAGAAGCCATTTTTTAAATCTGCAAACATGAGAAATTTGTAGTGCTCTGCTATGCTTCTATTTGATGGGGTTAATAGCTGTTCTATCTGAATTTGAGGGAGAGAGTGTGTCTTTACTGAAAACATCTATTTGTTCAAACTGCCATGTTTAATAGCATTTGAACAGAGGTTACACAGAGTAAACTGTTAATAGCATTTGAACAAACATCGCAGCTCAATGTACACACATAGCATTTTCAAACTGAACAAATACCGCAGTTTCAAACATTGCAGTTTCAAACATAGCATTTGTGATTAATTACACATGTTACACACATAGCATTTTCAATCTGAACAAACATGGCAGTTTTACAAACATATGAGTTCAATGTCAATTCAATTATCAATCACACATGTTAAACAACTATTATCAACAAATCATACTGAAGTGAAATGATTATGGCCAGATTGTTGGAGAGTGTGATTCAGTAGTTATCAATCTGAAATAGTTATCAACAAATCACACATGTGAATTTCAACAAAGCACATTGAAATACTTATGACCAAATCAGTAATAGTTATGAACATTTAAGTTCAGTTTGATAATAGTTATCAATGTTCATAATAGTTATTTCAATTCACGCAGCTAACATATTAGTTGATAGCAGTTCATTACAACAAATCATGCGTGATTGACATCAAATACACCAAAACCACATTATCAATCACACATTGAAAATTACACAACTATATGCATTTGTTCAACTAATTATCAATCTGCATAATCATACTATGTTCTGCAAAGATGTGATCCTTTCATTTATGTTTGATCACTTTCTGCATAATCATACTACGTTCTGCAAAATTTATACTTTAACTCTACAAGGTAAATGCATATATGTTCCGGACAATATGTGCCACATTTTTCAATCATACCATTTATCGATCTGCATAACAGTAATTTTCAAAGTCCTAATTTTCAAAGCCCTAATTTTCGAAGTCATAATATTGAAAGCCCTAATTTTGAAAGCCCTAACTTCCAAATTTCAAATCTACTTTGTCAAGCACAACCCTAACTTTTTTGATTTCAGTGTTTGGAGGACGAACCTGGTTCATCTATGGCCTGAAAGCCCATGTTCTCGTCAACAAATTCCTTCGCTACAGCCGATGGTGGTCGTTGTGGAGCTATGGTTCACGAAGCAGAGAAAATGAGGGCTACAGCGGTGGGTTGGGTTTACGAGTGGGTCGCCGTCGGGAGTGGTCGCAAGTCAGGCTGGGTTCGGTGGAAGAGGAGTGAGTGTGAGAGTGAGGGGGAGTGACAGTGAGATTGAGGTGTATACTCTGTATGACCTGTATAGCAGAGCGGGAAAACGAAAATTTTTATTTCTTTATTTTAATTTTTAGTGAAAAAGCCAAAAATTCACTGAAAAAATGAAAAAGGCAACAACACATCGAAAAATTAAAAAATTTTATTTTGTCTCTACTTCTTACACATCTTTTTGTAAAAAACTATAAATTCGTCTCAAACGTACTGGGTATGTTTGGTTTGAATTTTACAGATGAGTTTTAGGGAAAAAAAATCCACAAATTGTTTGGTTTGACATTTTTCTCAAAAAATTTCGAAAATCAGTTTCTCTGTTACATATCAATCAAGCACTTTTTCTCTCTCCTCTGTCCTTCTCAATCACTTTTTCTCTCACACACATCTACTCAATTCTCCCAAAATATCAAATCATCTCAAACTCTCAAAAAAAATTTGTCACTCAAAATATACAACCAAACTAACCAAAAACATTTGTAAACTCTGTCCCCAAATTTTTTTTCAAAAAGAACTCTCCCAAAAACAAACCAAACAACCCACTAGTTTTTTCTAGCTCATATGTTACCCAAATCGCCAAAAATTGAAAGAATCAGGCTGTTCCCAAATGAGGCCAGTCTCTACTTTAGTCATAACGCAGGCAGCGAGAGAACATTGAACCGACAACAAATGTAGTTGTGAAATGGCAATAATAGTACTGGTAACTATAAGGGGTGGGATTGTTACTGAGGGAATTAGTAGTCAGGGGACTGACAGTGATGAGACTACAAGTAATATAATCATGGTTTAGTGCTGGTTTGGCATGTCTTCAAGAAGACAAAAAGTAAAAAAACTTACTGAACAAGCTAAAAAGTTACCGCTACACACAAATTAAAAAATTTAAAAACATAAATTGCTTGATGCAAATTACAAGTAATAATGGAAGACACAGTGATTGGTCTGTCCCGGTACAAATTACACATGGGTGCACAACAAAATTACACATGACAGTGTTGTTCGGTCCGTGGGAGCTTATCACAGGTCCCGTCTTCACAATCTAAACCGTTCAATGTGTACAACTCATCCAGTACTATATGTCTATTAAAAATCATGCTCATCGGATATCGCTAACTATATGATCAAATAAGTTTTGTATAAAAATAAGGGATGGTGTTATAGTTAACGGTTGAAAGAACCGATCAGATACCTATCGATATTCGATCAACGCGATTTTCTATAGGCATGTAGTACTCGACGAACTGTACACATATAATGATTCAGATTATCAAAATGGGTCCCCTGATGGCCCCCACGGGCTGAACAGCACTGTCCAATGCAATGCCAAATATTTGTGTATTCAGAATACGTTGGGATTATGATACCCTTGATATATATGTAGATTTGCTGGTTTGGCCCCTGTTATCCTATGTAATGTACTTACTGTGCTTCCTTAGAGCATCTCCAACGGTGAATTTCTTTTTTCATCAAATCTGATGAAAAAAGGATGCTTTCCTCAATTTGATACCACTGGCTCCAACGCTTCACCCTTTATCAAATCTGCTCCGGGGACAACCGGTTGGTCGACCGGTAAGAGGAATTTTTTTTTGAACTGTTTGAACCTTTTAGTGGTCGACCGGTTG